CACAGGCGCGATGCCACGGGGGAGTGGGGGGGGGGGTGCGACACAACGGTCACAAATCGTCATTTCAGTTGGCAGAATGAAAAAAAAAAATTACAGTTTACTCGGCAAACTTGGTGGTCGGCGTAATTTAAGAAATCAATGATCATGGTTTGTAACTCTCCAAATTTTTATTTTCATTTCGATTTGGTCCTTTTTTGAAACAAATTAAAAAGTACGACGTGTGGATTTAATTTTTAAAATGCTACTCGGTAACCTTGCTCCTGACACCCCCCCAAAAAAAAGTTTTCCAGCGCCGCCCCTGTATGTACACTATCTATACCATCTATACTATACTATATACTTCTATACTCTAGAGACAATAACCCTAGACAAGTGACAGGACCATTGACCTGAGACCAGAACAATAACCTGTGTCTAGACCTATGACCTGTAACCAGACCAATTGACCTATGACCCAAAACCAAAGAGATTACAGGACCTCCCGAAGGCAACGTAAAACAAGGAACTTTGAAGCCCTCGTATGGGCCAGCAAGGATATTTGAAAAGTTCTGAAGTCAAGTTAGAGTACATAGAATTAACGGTCAACACAAAGACATTGGAAAGCTTGGGACTAATATAATAGATGTTGCTTTTAGTCTTGTTGCTACGTTTTTATTCAATGTTGCTGTTGCTTCGGTTATTTTTATGATGTCGTTACTACTATTATTATCATTATTATATATATTATTATTATTTATTATTATTATTATTATTATTATTATTATTATTTATTATTATTATTATTATTATTATTATTATTATTATTATTATTATTATTATTATTATTATTATTATCATTATTATTATTATTATTATTATTATTATTTTATCATTATCATCTTTTGTACTTACTTTTATTATATTTGGCATTTCTATTTCATTATCATCATCAACATTATTATCATTATTATTAATATTGATGTTAATGATAGTATTGATATATCATTAATTGTTTTTGTTTCATTGTTAATATTATTATGTTATTTTCATTTCAATTTTCATTACTTCGTTATCATTATTATTATTAATTATCATTATTATTTTATTAATTATTATTTATCATTATCATCTTCACTTATGATTTATATTATTATTATTTCATATATATTTTTGTTATCTCATTCTCATTTCATTAATTCATTATTTCAATATTATTATTAATGTTCCATTTCCTATTCTGGGTTGTATTATTGATTTCAGTTTGTATTTATTATTATTATTAAACTGTATGTTATCATTATCATTCTATACATGAATCATTATATTTATATTTGGCATTATTATTCATTTCATTATTGATATTTTATTGATTGATTGTTAATTTCTGTTATGTAATAATGATTAATCATTATTGTTTTATCAGTTTTATAATTTATTATTGAATATTACATTATTATCATTATTATTATTATTATTTATTATTATTTATTTTATATTTATTATTATTATATGTATTATTTATTATTATTTATTTTAAATTATTCATTACTTTATTATATTTATTTTATTTTTAATTTTATTATTATATTATGAGTTACATTTATTTACTATTACTATTTTTAACATTAATTATTGAGTATTAATATGTTGTTATTGTTATTATCATGTTGGAATTATGATTTGCATTATTATATTAATACGTTATTTAAGCTATTATTATTATTATTATTATTATTATTTTATTATTATTATATTATTATTATTATTGTTATATTATATTATTATTATATTATTATCATTATTATCAATATTGTTGTTATTATTTTTATTATTATTCTTATTATTACATATATTATTGTTATCCTTATTACCATTATTATATTATCATTATTATTATTATTATTATTATTATTATTATTATTATTATTATTATTATTATTATTATTATTATTATTATTATTATTATTATTATTATTATTATTATTAATTATTATTATTATTATTATATATATTTTATTATTATTATTATTATTATTATTATTATTCATTATCATTATTATCATTATCATTATCAATTTTATCATTATCATCATTATTAATATCAATGATATAATTATTATTAATAATATCATTATCATTATAATTATTTATATCATTCTTATTCTTCTTCTTCTTCTTATTCTTATTCTTATTCTTATTATTATTATATTATTATTATTATTCTTATTATTATTATTATTATTATTATTATTATTATTATCATTATTATCGTTTTATTTATTATTGATATTATCATTATTACTAGTATCATTATCATTATCAATATCATTATTATTATTAATATTATTAATATTATCATTATGAATATTATTGATATTGTTATCATTATTGTTATCATTATCATCACTATGAATATTGTTATTATTATTATTATTATTGATATTCTTATTATTGATAATATTATTAATATAGATGATATTATTGACACTGATAACAACATTATTATTAATGTTATAATTAT